CAGGACAAGAAAACCGAAGCCCCATCCACAACCTGGAGTGTGACTGGGATAGTCAACCTGCAAACTATAAAGAAAACCAGCAAGTTATTCGTGGAATTGAGTGTTGCTACAAAAAGAAGAAAAAATACCTCTAGAACCCATGAAACAATGATAAAGGGGCTCAGGCTCAGAGAGGCAAAAATATTGATTACATGCAAAAAAAACACAAAACATTTAAGGGACCTTAAGACTGATACTTCTTTGAGGAATACTGAAATGAATGCAGAATAGTGATAAAATTCTTATACCAGAAAATAGTTATATGACAGCAACAACAAGTAGCATCTTTTATTTTTGTACTTCAACTAAAACAAAACAAAACAAGAGGAACACATAACATTTAGATGAGGTGCAGAATAAAGATTTTCACTTTCGAGCACCTAATTGATCATGTTTATATATTTAATATAAGTTGTTCTATTACTTTCTGCAATGCAAATTACCATGAATTCAGCAGTTTAAATAATGCTCATTTCTCACCTCACAATTTCTGTGGGTCAGCAGTGTGGGCACACTGGTTAGCTGGCTCCTGAGCCTGGAATTTCACAAGGCTCAGGTGAAGATGACAGCTAGATCGCTAGACTGCATTCCCATTGGAGTGTTGACTGGGGACAAGACACTTTTAAGTTCCTTCAGGTTGTTGGCAGAGATTAGGTCCTTACAGCTACAGAATTCATGGCAGCTTGACTTGCCAAAGCCAGCAAGAAGGTGAGAGAACAGAGTCTATGCCACTTGAGTCCCTGACTTCAGGGAAGACCTGGATCCTCTTTAAAAGAGCTATTCTAATTAGGTTAAGCCCTCTCAGAATACTCTCCCTTTTAATTAACTCCAAGTCAACAGATTAGGCACCTTAATTACATCTGTAAAATCCTTTCATCTTTGCCATATCATGCAACATAACCTTCTGAGTGACATTCCGTCACATTTGCCATATTGTACTGCTTAGAGAAAAGCCACAGACTCATCAGCATACCGGGGAGAGGAGGAGGCAAGGGTGTGAATCACCACAGGGTGTACCTGCCCCACACTCAGTCAGCTCCATTGGACTCCACTCTGAACCATGTTACTACTCTGAAGCTCCTCATCGTTTTCCCATTGATGCAATCAAGCCAGGCATCCGGAGGATGAGGCCCAGAAATCAGGACTTTAAAAAGATCCCCAGGTGATTCTAATGTGCAGCCAAGGTTGAGAACCACTGCCCTGGAAGGACATGAGAAGACAGAAATAAGGCGCCCACAACCCTGATTCTTAAAGAAACACCACCAAGAAGCCATCTGTGATTTAGTATGAATAAACAAGTTCCTCAACCTGCATCAGAGCCACACAGACATAACCAGAGGCAGAATCAACGCCCAGGTGGAAACAGCTCCTGTAACCAGATAGCAGTAGTGGAGCTGGGCAGGTGCCCCCAAGCAGCTATCTATCTGCACTTCAGCGACCCGGGACTCCTGAAAGTGTGAGTGCATCTCAGTGTTGGCTAGGAGGGACATCTAGTGGCAGCTGGAAACTAGGAGGGCTGACAACTGGTAAGCACATCCCCTTGGGCAGGTAAAAGCTTAGGATTCTGGGAGGTGCTGAGAGTATGGTGTCAGTTCTAGGAAGCCATTCATCCCCCAATTTCATTTTTTACAAAAGTTATTTAAAAGGTTATGAACAGATTACACCTGGTCATGTCTTCCCAGGCATCTTAGGATATTCACATGCAATCCCTTAAGGAGGGGCTATTATAGAAATAATTGTAACCTCTAGGTGCCACATTATATTATATTTTGGTGAGAGAGAGAGACGGGGGTGGGGGAGAGAGAGAGAGAGAGAGAGAGAGAGCAATGACCAATGAGGAGAATATTATGACATGGCAAAACATACATGAAAGGAAGATAGGAAAGGAGGGAGAAAGGCAAAAAGGATTAGTGATGCTCTGGGCACCCTGCAGGCTCCCACAGCCCCTCTGGCCCAGGTTACCTTTCCCAGCTTGAGTTCCTCAATCCCCACCCTCTAAGGCCTCTAACCAAACAGACTGAGAACTTTGAGACACATTCCAAAAGTGAGCAGTGGGAGACTGGGTCTAAGAAATGAAAAAAAAGAAAAGAAAAGGCTGAGACATAACAACGCAAAGGTGACCTCTATGGAACTGGGCCTGGAGCTGCAGGGAAGGCGGGCGTCCTGCTCCCCTGTGCTGGTGGTGAGTGACTAGCTCTCTGGCCGTCCTAGGGGAGAGGACACTGTGAAGGAGAGAGAAGAGAAGAGAGCTGTGTTCCCTCAGAAACCTAACAACTCTCACCTCGGTTTTCCTTCTTTATTTATGCTCGAGTTCCTTTATTTACTTGGAGTTCTTTCTTCCTCCCCTTTACTTCTCCCCCTTTTTTGGACTCATCTGAAACCTTTTCCCATTCATAAAATGGGAGTTTCTGAAC